AGAACTCTATACAGGGCTTGAACCTTTGACCTTGTGATTAGCGGTCCGGTGTTCATGCCACAGTGCCACCAGTGCTCCAGACATGCGTATATATTGGTCTTTTTCTTCACTTGTCCTGGGTCTCACTTCTACTGTTTAAGAAGTCATTGTCCCCTGTCTCTCTCCTGTTTTGTGGATAAGGACTCCATGTGTGCCTGTTCATCTTCTCTTCCATGTGACCATCTTGATTTTTGCTCTTGTAGATCCTCTCGTTTGTACCTGGTTTATTCAAAGTGAGCAAGGAAGGGCACCTGGAGGTGGAGAGGAGGCTGTGGGCCCAGTTTGGCTGTCTTCCACCAGGCTGGTTGTCCTGGCATGGAATCATTGCCGCCGTACCCATTCCCACCATGGCCCAAGGTTGTGGCTGGAGCTTCGAGATGAGACCTTGTTTGGGGCTGACCACAGGGTAACCTTGGCTGCTGTCCCAACCCAACATACAAGTCATAAACTGGGCATAGTAGATAATTTACTGGCCAGCAGGCCTGTGACACTCTGGCCTGACCAGAGAAGGTGTTGGGTTTTGACTGACCCGTCCAATGTAGGGTAAGGTTTCATGAGGGACATCATGTTGTTGTTGTTGTCAGGTGCCATCGAGTCGGAACCGACTCATAGCAACCCCATGCACAGCAGAACGAAACAATGTTCGATCCTGGGCCAACCTCACTACTGCTGCCAGACTTGAGTCCATCAATGATGCCACCTGGCTGATCCATCTCGTTGGGGGTCTTCCTCTTTTTCTCTGACCCTCCACCCTACCCAGCATGACATCCTTCTCCAGCGATTGTTTCCTCCGGACAATATGTCCAAAGTAGGAGAGACGAAGCTTAGCCATCCTGGCCTAAGGGACATCATAGTGGGTTTTTTTTTTGTCCTAGGGTAGGGTAGCGTTGTTGCCACAGACTGGGGGTCACCCTCAATCTGCTCCCCAGAAATGGGCTACTTACAGGCAGGAGGTTTTCACCCCCCTGGGACTCATCAGGAACCTTACAAGGAAACCAATTTGGCCCAGGGACAGAGAAAGAGAGGAAGACCCCCAACGAGATGGATTGGCCAATTGGCAGCATCAATGGACTCAAGCGTGGCAACAGTAGTGAGATTGGCCCAGGATGGGGCAGTGTTTCGTTCTGCTGTGCATAAGGTCGCTATGAGTCGGTGCCGACTCGATGGCACCTCACAACAACAACAACAACAACAGCAACAAGTCTCAAAGCATATTTCGGAGTAAGTCTCAGGATGAAAATCGACCCTGCCCTCATTAGATTTTCCTTTAAAACAGCAGCTCAGTAGGGCAGGTAAGACTCCTCTCAACTCCGGCTCCAAGGACCCTTAAGTGGTATCTCTTGACCAAGAGCCTAGGAAGGGTGCTCAAGACCTAATTAACCGCAGCCTAGGGATCAGAGTGCAGAAGCTGCCATTTCCTCTTTCTCCCTTCACAGGTAGCTCTCGGTTCTCTTCTCCCACCCAACTCACCTGGCTCAGCCCTCCGCGTCTCCGACCACATCCCACATCTGGCACCCCTCAAATTTCCCCGAGTCTCTCCCCCCACTTCACAATCCAGGCCCCCTTCCTCTCAGGGCTCGTCTCATCTCCACTTCCGGTATCCCCTCTGGTCGCCTTCCTCCCTCAAGACCCCACATTCCCGGTTCAGGTCTCCCCTCCTCCGGGTCTCCTTACGCCATGGCCAGCGCCCCCACCCCGGTACAGCGCCCACTTCCGGCGCTCCCTCCCAGGTGCCGTCAATACCGGTAACCCCACTCAGGTCCCACTCCTGAAGCAGACGCTTCCAACCGGCACCCTTAATTCCCGGTTTCCTTTTCCCCTGTGGCGCTCCCTCCCTCTACCCCCCGACCCACTCAGAACCCCTTCGCCTCTGCCCCCTCAGCACCCCCGTCGCTCCCCGAGTCCCGGTAAGCCCTCGGGCCCCTTCCCTCCGTCCCCTTAGGTTCCCCAGCCCCGGTCCGCGCCCTCGAGCCCCCCGCCCGGGAAGCCCGCGGCCCCTCCCGCCGGGCCAGGCGTCATGG